CATTGCACTCCAGTCTGGGCGACAGAGTGAGACTCCAACTCAAAAACAAAACAAAACAAAGAAACAAAGGCGCAGAACTGGGGGGTCATTATGGGTTGAAGTGGGGAGGTTCTCTTAGTCACTCTTACATATCAGATCCCAGTTGCCCCCAGGCTCCTGCCCAGGCTCCTGACCTCTGAGAGAAGCAGCTGGGTCCCTCCTCCCTGCATTGTCCTGTATCTCATAGGGAGCACAACTGTTGTGCCCAATGGCCTCTTTTTAATGATAATTTGAGATCTTTTTTTGAAGGTATTTATTATTTTTTGAGTTTTTGTCTTGTTTTGTTTTGGGTTGGGGTCTCACTGTGTTGCCTAGGTTGGAATGCAGTGGCATGATCATGGACCACCGTAGCCTCCAACTCCTGGACTCAAGCGATCCTCCTGCCTCAGCCTCCTGAGTAGCTCAACTACGGACATGCACCACCATACCCAGCTAATTTTTTCTGTTTTGTAGAGACTGGGTCTTGCTTTGTTGCCCAGGCTGGTCTTGAACTCCAGTCTCAAGCGATCCTTCCATTTCAGCATCCCAAGGTGCTGGGATTATAGGCGTGAGCCAGCCTAATTTACCTTTAAATTTCCTCTTTAACACATTGATTGTTCAAGAGCATATTGTTTAATTTCCACAAACATGAAGTCTCTGAAATTCCTTCTCTGATTGATTTCCGGTTTCATATCATTGTGGTTGGAAAAGATACTTGATGATTGCAATCTTCTTAAATTTGTTCAGACTTGCTTAGCAGCCTAGCATATGATCTATCCTGGAGAATGTTCTGTATTCACTTGAGAAGGATGTGTATTCTGCTCCTGTTGGATGAAATGTTCCATATAGGGCTGTTAGTTTCATTTAATCTAGAGTGTAGTTAAAGCCCAATGTTTCTGTATCGATTTTTCTACCTGAATGATGTATTCATTATTGAAAGTGTGGTGCTGAAGTCCCCTACTATTACTGTATTGCATTGCAGTCTCTCTCTCTCTCCAGATCAATTCATATTTGCTTTATATATTTATAAAGGTGCTCTGATGTCGGTGCATGTATGTTTACAACTGCTGTATCCTCTTGATGAATTGATGCCCTTATCATTCTATAATAACCTTCTAGGTCTCATTTTACAGCTTTTTACTTAAAGTCCATTTTATTTGATATAGTATAGCTACTCCTGCTCTTAGTTTCCATTTGCAAGGAATGTCTTTTTATATCCCTTCATTGTCAGTCTATGTGTGTCCTCAAGCCAGCTACCTCTGGCTTTTGTAGTGGTTGCCTGGTAACTGGAGGAGGGGGGGGAAAAGGTTTTTTCCAGGATCCCTTGCAAGCCCAGGCCTGACATTCGAGAACTCGGTTTAGGGACAGTCCCTGATGGAGTTGATCCTGTTGCCTCATGGAAGACTGGCTTTGAGGGACTCTCCTCCCCAGGCTAATCTGTGACCTTTGTCTTCCCTGTCTTCCAGGGGATAGCTGCACCCAACAGCCTGGATGGGGAGTGTGGCTCTCCAGAGGGACTACTAGTACTGCCAAGGTCATGGCCTTGGCCTTGGTCCTTGTGCTTCTCCTGCCCCTGCATGACATGCAGGGGCCAGACAGCTGACGTGGGTGTCTGCCTGATACTGGCCCTGCCCTCTGGGGCTGGAGAAGGGGTGATGTGGAGAGAGGGCGGTGGCCCCTGAGGAGAGGGTCCTGATGGCTCCTGAGTCCCTCTTCAAAGCTGCTGAACTTCACTCACCTCTCCCACATGGGTTTTCTGAGTGTCTCTTCTGTGCCAGCCACGTGCTGGGCCCCAAGGTGATGGCGGTGAGCAAGCAGACGGGTTTCAGCCTTTGGAGATAACTGTGATGTCACTTACTCCTCATTGAACATCTGCTTGGGACCATTTGTTAC